ACCAGGGCAACTGTTGCTACCCACCCGCTCCCTTCCCTCCCCCTTTGCTGTTGTGATTGGCTGAGAGCTGCCAAATTGTCTTAAAGTGACAGCTCCAGGAAAATTTTACTACAAAGCCTTCCACGCCCATTTGTGGAAAATCCCAGAGGTGGAGGCTCCCAGTTAAATCCCAGTGAAAGTAATAGAATTGTTTGTAGTTTGTTTTTAAATTGGAATAAAATCAATGCACAGCCTATATGGACTGTCATTTAAATTGATCCATCTGGCTACATTCATTCAGTGACTTACCCAAGGGTCCATTAGTAGCCTACCTGAAGAATGGGCTATTGATGTGTTGTTTATTTTAATATGTTTCTTCCTTTTCTTTACTCTCCTTTTACAATAATGTAAATATCAGTCCATAACAAGACATTACAAAGTGTTTTACAAATAAATGAATACAAGGAAACACAAGGCTATATAAAGACAAATTAAAAAGTTTTGAAAACAGAATTAAAAAATAAACAGTGAATTTTGCATTTTTACCTGTCATCACAACACATTACAGGTTATTATATATGTGCATGTGGCATATGACTGCATAATAGTGAGCCAAAGGCAAATTTCTTGCCCTAAATTTCATTTAATGTTCTCATCATACAACATAATTTATACATTTTTTTCCCACACACCACTGGTTTATTTACTGTGGTTTGTAGCATTTTGATATTGCTCCCTTGACCTCCACAGGTTGCCCCAGCATGACAGTGTTTTAACAAGTGTCATGGTGGATACCTTCCCAAAATGTCATTTGTTAGCTTTGTATCATCACATTAATTACAAATTCAGCACCCCTTTTGTAATTTCCTAAATGAGCGACCTTTGGCTATGCGGATATACAGATAAGAATGTGTTTTATTTGTCTCTGACTCATAATAAGACTTCTGTGTTATCAGACTTTGGAAATGTCACTGGTCCTGTCTCTCTTCTTCAATTCACCTTTTGGCAAAGAGCTAACAGGATGAGTAATTTCCTGCAGAAAAGGTAAGTTCTACATAAAGAATTTTACGTAGGTTAACTGTGTCAAAGGTGATGTAATGAACTAGGATTGCAAAAACCTGAATGTATGGCTGTAATATTGTTAAATGTCATCAAGACAATTAAAGGCCACATGCGTCGGCAGAACTAACATGTTAATTCTTTAGGGACCATATTTTTTACAGTGTGTTGGCATTGTTTTTTAATAATACAGTTTTATATGAATTAAATTGGATTTGTTTGAAAAAAAATTGAACATGTAAAAGTCATTCAGTTTCCAATGGTCTGTGCAGAAAACTACACAAATATGTGCTATACACTGATTAATAACACTATATGTATTTTTTAAGTGCTAAAGGAGATGTATACATGTGTTTGTAAACTTTTTTTCACATTTGATATACAATATGTATATAAAAATGGTTATAATTAGTATACCAAACAGCAATCAAGTAATCTTGTTATAACAGTCTAATTGTGTTTGTCATTGTCAGTGATCTGTACACAATATGGGTTTTCTGGTCTGGTCATTTTATTATATAGAGGGACAAACATTTGCCTAAACTATTAGATTATAGATTCCTCTAACAAACTCATTAACTATGCCACCTTTGGTCTTCTTTTTGTCTCCATAAAGGTCTCCCACTGTATCTCCTGTTCAGATCTGTTCTTCTCTCAGAGGAGGCCTACATGCGCAGTATGCATCTCCTCCTTTTCAGGGGTTCAAACACCTTTATAAAGCGCGCCTGGGTCATCTAAAAAGTCATTGCTTATGCAAAGAGCGAGTTAAACCAAATATTCTCCTCCCACTTCTTGCCTCGCAACTATGTGGAAAGCTGTGGTGCTGGCTGTGTGTCTGCTTGTGGCTGGCGTTCAGCCCATGGATGACCCAGCGTATGGGGTGAAGCTCTGTGGCCGCGAGTTCATCCGGGCAGTCATCTTCACCTGCGGGGGTTCACGATGGAGACGGTCACTCAGGAGTTTAGGTAAGCCCGGTGATATTTCACTTTATTTTTTACCTTTTGCAACCACTTTTAAAATTTCTATTTGTGAATCGAGGTGGCTGTGGCTCAGGTGATAGAGCAGGTTTTCTACCAGTGGATTGATTCCTGACTCCTCCAGTCTCAAGTATTGTTGGGCAAGATGCTGAAACTCACGTTGCCCCGATGCATCTGTCGGAGTGTGTGAATGTCAGAAAGCACTCAGGCATAGATAAAAGCTCTATATGAATGAGTGAATGACACTTGTAGTAGAAAGCGCTTTGAGTGTTCAGCTGAGCAGAGACGTGCAATGTGCCATCCATGACTATGTAAATAATTTAGACTAGTCTTTTTCTGCTCATTTGTGATCATGCAGAGGTATCCAGAGAAATGATGGAAGGAAATCACCTGTAAGTTTAAGTGTAGAATGACTGGCCGGCTGGTTAGAATGGCTGGTTAGCTAGCAATGGATTACATATGATCAGATTACAAAAACCGAGTGACTCCTACTTAATTTTTAGCTTTTTATTATAATTAATGGTAGTATTATTATAGTTGTTGTTCTTGTCTGTTTTTTTTACCTTATTAACTATAATTTTATGACTTTTGCATTTCACATCTATCTATCTATCTATCTATCTATCTATCTATCTATCTATCTATCTATCTATCTATCTATCTATCTATCTATCTATCTGTATTGTTGTTTAAGATTGAATTTGAGTGTATCCACTGAATTATGTTATTACTTACAAAAAAATGTATGAACTGTTCAGTAAATGACTACAGCTTAAAATGTAATTGCTCTCAGCCCTGAAAGGCTGAAAATGTGATATTCTGAATCAAAGTGCCTTGGTTTTCATTTACTATAATGATGTGCGCTTACTATTCTGAGCTATAAACCACCAAATGTACATTTAAGCATCTAACCCACCAGGCACACTTGGCAACAATCCAGTGGCATCCCACCCTCGCTCCTTCCATCGTATCGTCTCCAGCAATAATGAAATGCAAATAATGCACATATTTTGCTTGGATGCAAGAGAAACCCATTCCTTCATACTTTATTGTTTTTACTCCCACAGATGCTTCAGAGGACCCCTTCACCTCCCCTCAGGATGAACTCTCAGAGGGCTTGAATCACAATTTTGCGGTGGAGAGTCTCCTTCAGAGAAACACAGATCCAAGCTCCGCATCCAGAGACAACCAGGAGGGAGCGTTCAGCCGCTCCACCCGTTCATTCATCACCGAAGAGATACTGGAGGCGCTTCGCAAAGCTGACCGCAAAGGCCGCGATGTGGTGGTGGGTCTCTCCAACGCCTGCTGCAAGTGGGCTGCAGCAAGAGCGAGATCAGCTCTCTCTGCTGAGGGTCGATATATGCAATCTGAGCGCGCTGGCTGCCAGGCATGTTGTACACCTTAATAAACAAACAGAGACACACATATGCACACGCACTCTTCTTTATTCACTTTTTTGTGAATTTTATATCCTGCGTGTGTCTGTTCAGTAAAGTCTGTTTAATGTCTTTAATTTTCAGTATCAAGTAAATCTTTATGTGGCCAGTATGATATATAAAGAGACACGTTTGTTTTATGACGTCTTTGCTTGTTTTCTTTTTACATTACCAGTAACTTTCTCTGCTGCAACTGATGAGAGCTCAAGGGAATAAAATGCTTTGCTAAAATCATTTGAGAACAAGTTCATTAAAAAACTAACAAACACACTCGTCACATGACACGGAGGGATAAATGAATGGAAAATTCATTACAATCTGTGTTATAACAAACATAAAGTGACAGGTAGATGTGTATTTTTACCTCAGTCCCCAATGCTTACACAGCAGCTTTGCTTCCCATGAAATATGCTGCTGTGGCCTACTTAGCTTTTGAGGCATTTCCACTTCCTTAAAAACATGCTGTAATTGGTGGAAGGGGGCAAACATTAAAATGTACGATACTTAAGTCACTGCAGCATAAAAATGACTTTTACTTGGGGGAAATTATATTTGCAGAGTCGGTTTCCACAGTTGATATGCTGCTTTCAGTTTAGGTTTTAATGTCTGTTTAGTTTCAGTTTACTATTTATTAGTTTCAGTATTAGGTTTAGTTTAGTTAGCTTTGGGGTTTGTTTTTTTTTAGCTTTGATCACTGATGCTATTTATCTAGGTCAACAAGTTCACAAGGGGTCACAAAAAAGAACAATATCTCATGTCATGTAAACATACCCTCTGGAAATGCATGCACGAAGAGCCTCTGATGCAGGTTAACACATGTTACTGTGATTTGTGTTTTATGTGCCACATATTTTTTTAGTTGGTCTAATGTTATATTAGCTAACAGTTTAGCTTTAGCAAACTGATATTACTATTCTACTGCTCTATCACAAACACACTTACCATCCACTTCATACAGATTTGTAATAAAATGGCTAGTGTATATATTTTTTAATTCAAATGACCATTAGGACACATAGATTTCACATGAATACGTTTAGAGAACTTTCCTATAATGATTTTTAAAGGTTGCAAACAACCTTCAGGATATTCTTTTAAAAAGGAAACAAGCAGACACAAACGTGTTTCTTAAAACAGGTAACAGACTCTAAAACAGAGGGAATTATGGTGTGTTCAAAAGTTTATATAAGCCCAAAATGCTTTATACACTCAGGTTAGTAGCTGTCATTTTAATTAGACACTTTCATACACGTGCTCACGTTTGAGCGGCAGAAATTCAAAACAAAACTACCTCAAAGTTCAGTAACCTAAATATCTTACGCTACTTTTTGTCACGTGATATCTCTTTTTCTTTTCTTGAACTTATGAAAAGCGTTTGCGTAATTAAAAAACAAAAAAATAAAAAATACAGGGTAGCTACGACAGACACGTTTCGAGACCTGCAGCGAGTTAGTGTGTGGGAAGAACTGACACGACTAGCTGCCGGCGAGCACGCGCGGGTGAGTTGACGTCACTGGCAATTCCAGCAACTGGGTGGAGCGAATCGGTAACTGCGGAGAGGAGACATTTCTGAACTTCACAGCAAGTTTCTCAGTTAAAACAAAAGCTGCGTGTTCCTGCAGAGCATGGGCGGCTCACATCTCAGCGTGTCTCACCCGGAGGTAAATCATTTGTACCCTAATAATACTTAATATTTACTTAGAAAAAAAAGAGATCATAATTAAGGTTTAATAGAATTTGAGACTAAATAAAATGCCGAGTGTCTGGTAATTCGGTACTTATCACAAAGCTGCTCCCTCCTATCTGGCAATACGCCTATTTTTGTTAATCACCAAATGACTTTACGCTCCACTGCACCCAAGAGGAAGTCTGAAACTGTCAGTCTGTATGCAGTTGGGCTATTTATGCCAGATGTTGTATTTGTGATACGGATGTAGTTACCCCACATGTTGCAGCTACAGGTCAATGCGTGAACTCTTTCTGTAAGACCAACAGAGTTTTTGACTATGTCTTGTGATTGATTATTATTGTTGTTGTTGTTATTTTGTATGTGAGAGTTCCTGATGAATTTGGGCTTTTCGCAGGCACTAGATGCCCTTGTCTAAATGTGATGGCCAGACCTATAACAAGGTGGCTTCTGTCCATCTTGGTGACCAGTGTCTCTGCTGCTGCAGCAGGTAGGCCTGTTCAAAAGCGCTTGTGCACAAATACTCATAAAAAGTACTTGCGCCTGCATTCAAAGGGAAGTGTTATCGCCTTGTACCCCACAACTTTATCAACTGTAATAACCACAACACTTTAACACCCTGTTACACTAACCCACTTAAATGCCATGCTATCTGCAGTGCTGTTTTCTTTACAGTCATGTTTACTGATTATTTGATTAATTCTGTACTTTGAGAGGTTTTGCTTTATCATAACCCCTAAATGATTTGTTTTTCCTGTTCTCTAATGCTTTAGAAATTCCTTCTTTGTACTGCTTTCTTTGTTTAGTAATACTTTGGTTTAAAATCTTAAACTTAAACTTGTAGACACTCACTGTGGTACCGCTGTCCTGACCTTCTCTATACATTTTAAGATTAGAATCATCACCCCATCATTCCCACTGATTTTCAGTCCAGTTCTGGTGTAATTTGGCATCCCTCAGCTTTTTCTCCCTGTTTCACCCTTATTGAGAATTTTCAGCCATTCTTCCACTGAGACCATTTCTGATAATGCTTCAGTGAACAGTAGATGAATCACCTGAAGGGTCAGATGCATCTCTCAGGTCATTTTGTTTGTTCTGGTCACATTTTTTCCTGTTTTTGAGAACGTGAGTTTCCAGTAGTGTCCGTCTGCTGTAGAGAGTTTTTTAGGCTTGACAGTTCTTCTTTTGTAGTTTTGTAGCTGTAGCTTCCTCAAATTTGTTTTAGGACACACTGCACACTATGCCTAAATATGCCATGTTTTCAGCTAAAAGCTCTTTTGGAATCATCTTACAAAAATCCTATTTTATGCCTGTCAAACTAGGTTATATTTGATATTTTTCTTAGATTTAACTAAAGAAATACAAGCAAATTATTTGTTTATTAGACAGGCTGCTTGTAAAAAGTGGCTAAATACAATAAAAATGGGTTTTTGCTCAGTTCTGTGTTTTATGTAGGCACAACACTGGTTCGTCCTTTGACTTTGATCCCTTTTTATGCTTGAATGATTCTTTGGTCAGTGTTAAGTGGCCCTAAAAATAGTGTGTGGACATTCCTGAGTGAAAAAAGGAACAAACAACCAAAGAAAGAAACATGTTCCAAGAGAACTAGACCACTTTCAAAGGTTACAAAACAGTCTGGCTCCCCAGATGCAACATACAAAGAAAAGAGGGTAGCTCAAGACTTTTGCACAGTACAAGGGAATGGTTGCAGACTAACCAAGAGCAGACCAAGTATATTAAAGCTTAATTTTCACATTATTTTCCACTTTTCAACTAGGCACATGCAAATGCTATCCATAAATGAATGAGTATTTTAGTTCTTAGTAAAGGACTGACCTGTACAATAACAGAAAATGTTAGTTGGGAGCTTTATGTGCATCACATTTTCCTGAAGCTGAGGACACTACATCAATCTCAACACATTTTTACTATTTATTCTCACTATTTATTTATTTGGTGACCCATCTATCACACCTATCAGTCTTTCCTCATTGTTTGTGCTGTTTTTAAAGAGAAGTGGTCATAATTGACTAGACTACACTAGTTTTGGATCCAAACTGCACAAACTGCTCATTTCCTGTTCTGCAATCTGCTTTCCTGCAGTAGTCGGCATATATTGAATGGGTTACTGCTAAAAGTGTAGAGGCTTACAAGAAACGTGTAAAGGTGGCAATCTTGCGATGAGTAAAATCAAAGGTATGCGTGTGTGTGTGCGCACAGATAGACGGATGCGCGCACATTTTTTTTCTTGTGGTTGAGAACAGTGTTAGATCTATTGCTTTCTCCCCCTTTTCTTCATCATCTCTCACTTCCTGTATCATTTTATAACAATTATAGTCACCTTTGCTAAAAGCCTTAACTTATGCAATCTTATTAAATGATAATAAATGTGGAGAATATGGTTGGAACTGACGGTAACTCAGTCGTGTTCACTCTTATTTCTTCACTCATTACATGTGTCTGAGTTTGTGAGTCATTGTAGCTTCGCAGTCTGTCACACAGGGTCAGTTTGCTTTACTGTGACTCGTGGGATATTACCAAATATAGTTTTATTGCAGACGTTTTGTCACTTTCCTTTCTTTGTCTTTTGTTTCATTAGTTTTATTTCCTAGGAAATGAGACAAAGGAGCTGATTTAAAACACATCTGGAGCTTTTTAACAGTAAAGCTGTTATAAAAAGCTAAATTAGCCCCCACTAGCAAGACGCAGAACCACATTAAATATATTAAATAAATACTCGTGCTGTTAGTGTGTTTGGGTTTTAGCAGCAGTGAAGGTGACTGGTGTAGCAAGAGAGAGAGGTTTGACAGAACTGCCAGAAAGTGACTAGAGAAGGGAGCTAAGGCTGGATTTTGGAGAAGGGAGAGTGCATGTTGGGTAGGAACAGTGTGTGGTTTAAGTAATGTGGGATCTTGAAGTGGATGAGTGCAGGCTGATTAGATGGACAACGAGGTGGGAACTCATTGCAGTTATTTTTTCTGTACTTCATCTCTCCTCTGTCTTCCTGCATTCTGTGAGCTGGGAGTTTTTATATTCAGCGTGCTGCTGTGTTGCATCAGCGTAGGTTTTTGGTTGAGCAGTATTGAAAGGACAAGTTGTGGAACACATCTGGGAAAGATTTTGTGCATCACTGGCCGAATTTCCTGTACTTTGTTCGTATTTTTAGAAATGTTTGATACTTTTCTACATCACTTTATGTTAAAAAGATCTAGTTAAAGTAATGGAAAACACACAAATCAGGCACTGAGTGGACCTCACCTGCCACTTCGTTAAGCACACCTTGCTAGTAGTGGGTTGGATCAAAGTCTGCCTTTATTCTTCTTGCAAAGATTCAACAAGTTGCCGGAAACATTCCTCACAGATTTTGTCCATATTGCTACAATGGCTGCAGATTTGTCTGTCGCACATCCAGATTCAGATCTGGTGACTGTGGAGGTCATTTGAGTGTAGTGAACTATTTGTCATGTTCAGGAAACCAATCTGAGGTTTGTGATGTGGTGTTTTATCGTGCTGGAAGCAACCACCTGACTCTGGGTACACTGTAGTCATAAAGGGATGGGCAGAAACAATACTCAGGTAGGCTGGCCCAAAGACTGCTAAGAGAATTTCCCCCACATTATTACACAACCAGCAACCTGAACTGTTGATACAACCCTGGATGAATCCATGCTTTTGTATGCCAAATTCTGAGCCTGCCATCTGAATGAGGAAGCAGAAACTCCTCTATTACCCAATTCTGGTAAGCCTGTGTGAATTTTGACCTCAGTTTCCTATCTTAGATGACAGGCATGGCAGTTTGACAAACAGCCACACCAGCCCATCTGGCACCAACAGCCACATTGAAAGTCACTGCAATAACATTTCTCCTTCATGCTAATGCTCAGTTTGAACTGAGCATTAGCATCCGGTCATCCCGGATCAGAGGATGCTGATTTTCTATGTGATTTGATGTTTGTGTTAACAAGAAGCATGTAACAGTTTAACTAATCAAGTGGCCTCTGAGTTTATAATTGAAACAGACTTTTGACCTTTGTCAGCTAGTACAGCGGTCCCCAACCTCGGGCCACGGTCGTTTGGTACCGGGCCACGAGAGTTGAGGCTCGGGTGTAAAATTTATGGTTTCCAGAGTTTTTATCGGTTTTTAGCGTTGTTTTTTATCGTTTTTATCGTTAACTCGGTTTCCCTGGGTCTTTTCCTGTGTGTTATGAATAAATCTTCTTTTTTTGGTACCGGTGCTGGTTTTATTTTGTTGTATTTATCCAAAACACCATAAAGAACGGTCCGTGAAAGTATCGTCGGACATAAACCGGTCAATGGCGCAAAAAAGGTTGGGGGCCGCTGTTCTAGTATTATCCCTGACACTGAGGGCTCAACATGGATACAAATGTATTTTATTTTCTGTCCTCTTTAGTGTTTAGTTCAGATCCGCAGAAAATCAGAGTATAAAATGCTTAAATATGTCACCCCTTCATGTCAGGGATTAATTATGTTATTCAATATTAGAAATATGTGTTTCTGCTCATATTCACCTCATGTTCAAGACTTTCTGCACATTCAGAACTTTTCACAAAGCCTGTGGTTATAGAGAATTTCCTTGTCAGTTATCCAAGTAGCAACAGTACTTCTAAACCTGGGCTTAAAAAGTGGATCGTAATCCTTGTAAACATGACCCCTGTTTGGCAGCCCACAGTTGGCAGTCAGCTAAAGTAATCTGAAATGTAATGTAATGTTCTCCCTGCCTTGTCGGTATAAGCCCCACCCACCCCCTTACGGGTTCATGTGGACTAAGTGTGGCTTTACCGTTCCTACACCTTCCCACGGTTCACCCAGACCTGCCCACAGTGGGACTACCTGGGCCTGTCTGCTGGGACTGATGCTTTTGGCGTCTTTAGTGTAGTGGTTAAAACGTTTGCTTGGCAAGCAAAAGGTTAACAGTTCAAGTCCAGCCGAAGACACAGATCCCTTTGGTGTGTGATGACTCTGCCAACTCAAAACATTAGGAACTACGTGCTGTGGCGAGAAAGTCGCTGAAAGCTGCGTGAGTTAAAAAAAAATAAAAATACTGACACCAAACCTTCTCTTCATCTTATTTCGTGGCTCCTCCATGGGATGTGTGTGCACAACATAGACATTCACTAAATTGGCACAAAAGATTTCATGTATAAACTGTACAAACTCATATCTGATATAGTTTTTTTTAATTTAAAAAAAGTCCCACTGTTGGAAAAAGACCTGCCTCTGAGGTTTATAGGAGTAATCCCTCTGCTTCTTTCATTGGGGCGATGTGTTCCCTGAGTGCCCCATGGACTCTATGCCTGCGCCTTGAAAGATCGTCTGCCCACGTGTCCCCCCTACTTTGTGTTGACAGATTTGGGAGGGTGTGGAATCATGGTTCAGCGGATGGGCATAGGCTAATAATGCAGCAGCTGTCTTTAATGGAAAGCGGAACTTCAAATCATAATCTAATGCAAACTAGACAGCTGTCAGAAAAACCATGTATTTAGTTTATTACAGAGACACTTTCTAAATCATTATTTGTAGGTGTGTGGGCTTGATTTCACTGTAAAATGACTGTATATGAGTGAGCATGCCTTTTTCTCATCACCTTTACTTGCATCTTGGCCTGATGGAACACGAGAGGAAGACGTAGAGAAAGGAATTCAGGGTGTACAAACTAAGAACTGTTTTTATTGAGCAAGAGACAAACATGAGGAAAAGGAATATGGAAAAGGAAGGAATGGGGAAAAGGAAGAGGAAAGACAGAGGAAACAGTAGGAGTGAGGAAGCATTAATGGGAGGAAGAGAACAGTGAGAGGTTTGCCTCTTTGGACTTTTCCTCTTTGGAGCTCAAAGGAGGGATATCCTCCTTCTATCTCTCACGGGCAAGAACAAAAGCATCCTAAACACACAAAGGGAAGCGGGTGAAACAAAAAAGCAGATATGAACTCACGTGAAACATAAAACATAATGAAAGTGGGTCTGAAAATAAAACAGGAAGAAAAACTACAAACAAAACCCAGATTGGTAACGATGACTTGTGTTTGTCCTTTGTGTTTTTTCAGATCCGCCAGCTCCTCCCTCTGATCTTGAGTGCTTTAGACCATGTGACGAGACAAGCTGCCATGTGGACATACAGTGCACCTGGGATCCAAAGTCAGACCCTAAGATCCCACTAACTACACCCTGCACTGGGAGCCAGCTCATAACCAGTAAATAAAACCCATTTTTTACAGCTGTAAACAATAAGAAATGCCCCCTGAATTTGTCTTGAACTTCTCCTGGTGTCATGTCTCGTCTGGTCTTTTCTTTCAGCGACAGCCATGTGAAAGGTGGGACCAGTTTAGACGGTCGCATTCCTCGAGAGGACTTCTCCGGTGGAGGAGAACTTCGGGTTTGGGTCGAGGCCGTTAACCAGAATGGCTCCAACAAATCTCAGCCGGTCGTCTTTAACGTCGAAGGAATCAGTGAGTCAGTCCCACAAATACAAACGCCACCACAAACGGCAGTAATAATGATCAGTTCCTAATACCGAAAATTTTTTGATGTTTATCTTCAAATGATTGATTTTCATTTAAGTAATATTAAAGATGAAACTTTTTTTTCACTGCTAGCCAAGCCACCCCCACCTAAAGACATTACAGCCGAACCGGAACCGTTGGAGTTTTTGTGGAACACTTCCTGCATAGAGTCTTCTGGACACTGTGACATTCGATATCGGACTAAGGGAGAAACAGACTGGCCAAAGGTGTAGTGCGTTTAGGGGTTTTCTTCCCCATTAACAAATGAATACATGAAATAAAGTCCTTAAAAAAGCTTATTAGGCAAGTTAAATTGTATAGTTTGAGAGACAAAAGTGTCATCCAGTGAAATTATGCTCAAGCTTGTTTTTTTCCTCTTGTGCAGTTTGAGGATGAAGTACATAGCACCTACGCAGTGGAGGAACCGGACCTTTTTACGGTTTATGAATTCCAAGTTCGTTGTGACTGTGGTACAGGATTAATGAGCGACTGGAGTAAGATCCATAGCGTTAGGAGCTCAGAGTCAGGTGAGAGTCCTCATTTGGAGTAATAATAATGATGATAAAAATAATAATAATAATAATAACTTAGATCTTTATGGCACCTTTAGTGGAACCTAAGAAATGTCACGAGGATTGCATCACTTTCCCAAGTTTAGCATTTAAGAACAATTCAAAAAAGGTTCATGTTTCTCTGGGTTTTTTTGTTTTTTTGTTAAAAAAAACCTCTTTAACATTCTTTCACATATTACATCAGAATTGGGAAGCCACTTGAATTGTAGCTGATTACTGTAGTTTTGCATTAAACTGTAACTGTTCTCTTAGCTGTTTTAGTGGCATGTCTTTCGTGCAGCTAGAAGGAAAATGTTGCCTTATCTCCCTGGCTTTGTCTCTTTCTTGCAATGCCACTCAGACCCTGTTGGAGAAGTGGATTTATGGAGGGACTGCGGTATTTCCCCTCTAAGCTCTGACTGTTTTCTGACTTGGAAGGTAGGCTGAGAACTAACTCGCTCACTCTGTCTCACCACGAGCCAACTCATCCCTCACTCTCCTCGCCTTTTCTCCATTCCCTCCAGAGTCTCTCTGATTCTCAGGCACGTGGGTTCATTCGTGGATATAACCTCACAGTTTTCTACAGCAACGGCTCTAAATTGCAGATGTCCACGGCCGAGCCAAACAGGCAGTACGTGCATGAAATTGTGGAGCAATTGTGCAGCAACGGTACCACAAAATGGTTCCTCAACGCCACTCTGAAGGATGTGTCATCAGTCAGCATAATCGCCTACAGTTCTAAAGGTGCCACAAAGGAATCGTTTCTGAATATATCAACAACAGGTAAGAGACTGTGCAGACTTTCATAAAAACTACAGGACGCTTTGAAGCCCCTAGCGGCATCTAACCATCTCCGATAGGGGATACATTTAACCTTAAGCACTGGTCTCTTGTTAAGGTAAAGAAGAAAATGTTCTAAAAGTTAACCTCGAGATGAATAAAGAGAACCTCAGCGTGTCCTGGGACCCACCGTCTGACGTCTCCGAGCTAGAAGAATACGTGGTGCAATATAAACAGGCAGGATCTCCACCTGGCCGAGAGTTTGACTGGATAAGAGTGAAAAAAAGCCAGAACGGAACATTTTTTAAAGGTCTGTAATGTGTCAAACCTCATTAATTAAAAGAGTTGTTGTTGTTATGATAACTGTTGATTGCATTTTGAACCCTGTTGTGTGTTGTATGTCTCCACCTACAGGTCAGTTTCAGGAGTACAAAGCATACCAAGTGTCGGTGTTCAAGGTATTGAACAGCAAGGAAGTCCTCCATCTCTTCACAGAGATTGGATATTCTCGTCAGAAAGGTGGCGCTCTCTGCTTTGTTCCTTTGATGGTTTCAGGCCACTGTAGCCTCTTTTCTCTCATCATAATAATTTTTTTCTTTTTTTCTTAATCAGCTCTGTTAGCAGTGCCGTCATTTAAGGTGGAAACTCTCACTGAGACTGAGGTGACTCTTCACTGGAAAGCCATTCCTCTCTCCGAGCAGACTGCCCGGATCTGGTGCTATGAAATTGGATACAAATGGTTGGATACGCAAAAAGGTATATAGCAGCAAACTATGTTACAGTTCAGTTATTTCTGGCTGATTTTTGCAAAGCTAACTGTTCATAGTTAGTAAAGAAGATAGCATGCATGCTTAAAATATAAAGCACATTACATATGAAGGGAAAAAAGACAGAAAACAGGATAAAGATTTTTCTGGGTTGTATTTATCAAACATCTCAGAATTAGTCCTATATAGCATAATATAGGACTTGGCTTTGTGTTTTAAATGTGTTCCTGATGTATTATTTCTGCCTTAAGCTCAGGTCTTGTACCAGAGGTCTGGGATTTTGAGGGCTCCGCACAGTATCTTAACTCTTCCCAGGACATTCCCCGAATCTGCTAAGGCCACTCTCTCAGTTTACACCCCCTAACGGTCCCAACAACCACTGGGTCCACTTTGGACTTCCACGCCTATTCCTTCAGCCACTAGTACATAGCAGTCGTCTTGTGCTCCTTTTCTTTTTTCTAGCATTGCTATCAGCTGGGATCACGTCATCTATCACAGCTGCAGTCCCCTGATGCTTGTCAACCACCACAGTGTCTGGTTGGTTGGCCAACAGCTGTTGGAAGTCCCACAAGACCTTAGCCCTGTTGTTCCACTTTCAGAGGTGTGTCCCACTGAGACGTGTGGACTAATACTTACGTGACCCAGATGTTCCTGCACTGTATCCCAGCCACTTGGATTGTGCTTCTGACTGTACATTGTCTTAGGGTGTGAACGATAGGTTCAATTGACATGTACCATACTCGAGAAAAACTTCCCTCCATCCCCTCTCCCCTGCAGGCTTGCACTCACATTGTGTTTAACTGTCTGGGCTAATTCACTGAAGTTTCCTTTAGCGTCACAAATACTTTTTTACTCTTAGATAAAGCTTTTGCAGAACCCAAGGAGCTCATGATTCTGTGCATTTTGTGGCACCCATAATGTGGTGGTGCACCATCTTGCTGAAAAAACTCAGGGAACGTGCCAGCTTCAGTGCATAAAGAGGGAAGCACATCATCATGTAGCAGTTTCAAATATCCAGTGGCCTTGAGGTTTCCATTGATGAAGAATGGACCCACTATCGTTGTACCCCATATACCACACCAAACCATCACTTTTGTTGTTCCAACAGTCTTGGAGGGATCCATCCAATGTGGGTTAGTGTCAGACCAATAGCAGTGGTTTTGTTAGTTAACTTCACCATTCACATAAAAGTTTGGCTCATCACTGAACAAAATCTTCTGCATGAACTGAGGGTCCTGTTCCAATTTTTGTTTTGCCCATTCTGCAAATTCTGTGCGCCGATCTGGGTCATCCTCGTTGAGATGCTGCAGTAGCTGGAGTTTGTAAGGGTGCCATTTGTGAGTAGCTAATATCCGCCGAAGGGATGTTCGACTAATGCCACTCTCCAGTGACATGCGGCGAGTGCTACGCTGTGGGCTCTTGCTGAATGAAGCTAGGACAGCCACTGATGTTTCTTCATTAGTGACAGTTTTCTTGCGTCCACATTTTGGCAAATCCAACACTGAACCAGTTTGAACACAATTTCGATCTGCTCCTCATGTGTTAACCTCTTTGACATGTCAATGGCAAAGAGAAACTTGCAAATAACTCATGAAAGAATAAAGTTACGTTGAAACCAAGCACACCATTTTTCTTGTGACATTACCAATAAGTTTGATGTGTCACATGGCCCTCTTCCTATTGAAAAAACAAAAGTAGTATCCAAGATGGCCGACTTCTAAATGGCCACCATGGTCACCACCCATCTTAAGGAGTTTGCCCCCTCACATATACTAATGTACCACAAGCAGGACTTTAATATCACCAACCATTCCCATGTTATTACGATGTATCCATTTAAATGGCCCACCCTGTACTACTGAACCCAGTGATTTTTATGGGGGCAGGTGTGGGGTGCAGATAGGAATGCTACTAGATTTGCACTGTGCTCGAGTCCAGATGAACTGTGTCCCAGCCCACCTTTTCAAGCAAGCAATGGCAACTTACCACTGCCTCACTTCTTTTCTGCCATATTTGCAAGAACTTTCACAGCCCAACTTTATTGACACCTGCAGCATGAACGCATGACAGGAATGTGCCGTGGTTTGTAGTATTGGACCTCTGATTTAGGATTTTTTGGAATATAAACTCTGGTCTAATAATTAGAATTTTCAGTTTTTGATTATAGTTTAGAGTTCTTAGTTTACTTTCAGTGTTTTTCTTTATTTTTGTAATCATAGTAGCCTAATACCTTTGTGCTTTAGTCATTTCATCATAGGTGATGATTTTACAGTAGTATAATCCTACTAATTTCATCTGTCTGACATACGTGCATTATTAATGATTAACACCTGATTAGTGACTTCCTGCTCTGACATATTTGATAAATAAAGACTCAATAACTTTGATTACACACGTAACCTCACTCCAGACATTTTCTCTCTTTCAGTGTTCAATGTAAATGCTTCCAATGATCATCAGCCCTTCACGCTCCGTGATCTCAGTCCAGGCGACTATGAGGTGTGGATGAGAGCTATTACTGAATTTGGACGTGAAGCGAATGCCACTGAAACATTCAAAATAAACCACCAGCAAGATATGTATGGTAGGTAGGATGGGTTTGACGTTATGTTTGAAGTTGTTGTTGATTTTTCTTTATTTTTCTTGCTGGATGTAACTAACTTAGGGTGTAATGGATTGTGCAGTGTTATAAGATACGAACTATTTATTATTTCTCTCACAATGATCGCTTCTCCCTCTTTTTTTAGGGTTATTGATACCAGTTCTGTCTGTTGTTGTGCTCCTTTGTGTGTGTTGTATTTTACTCAGGTGAGACGCTCATCTTAAACTTATCTCTGACATCATATTTGAAGCACATCACAATTGTGTTACGTACTGTTAACAAATACTTTTATATTCTGAATAAATGTTGAATAACATGAGAAATATAGTAAAAAAAAAATATCACAGTATACCAAGGACACAAAACATATTAAATTCAAACTCCCTCCAGTTTTGTCTTTATGAACATAGTTACTTCTACTTTTTTATGAGGTGATCTCCCAGTCTAACATATTTGCTGTTTACTGTCTTGTCTCTGGCAGCGTTTGTCCAGGACCAATCAAAGCATGTCCACTGATATCTTCGTGCACCTATGAGAAAGTGCCTGATCCCCGCAACAGTCACATCTTTAAACAGATGAAGCATCAGGTTAGACTGAATGAAACGTAACTGCGAGGTTTCTATAGACTCCTAAAAGTCTTAATTTTTTTTACTGTATTTGTTATAGTAAAAGCCTTAAGTTATATAAAAAAACAACTTTAATAATGGTTTCAAAAATCCTTTAAAAGATACTTTCTGGTATTGTAAGTAATTAACAAAATGGCTCTTTATAGATCTGTATTACAGAAACAACAGCAGTCATTCTGTGATGTGAAAAAGAAAGTTGTCACAGGACTGTATGCAATCCCATGGAAAACTAAGTAGACATCATCATTCAGCAGCTTGTAGAGCCACATTTAGCAACAACTTAAACTGATTGTTTCCTGTATGGCTATCAGCATCTCACAGTGTTGTGGGGGAACGTCGCTTCAGTTGGTTGAGGTTTGTGGGAATTTTTTTTTAAACGCAGATCTCTTAAGTTCCCACCAAAGCATTTCAATCAGGTTTAGCCACTGCAACATGCTGAGTCTTTCCTTTTTTAGCCATTTGGTTGCAGATTTGCTGCTCTGCTTCGAATCATTGCCCTGTTGCATGACCCAGTTTGGAGCATAATTTACTATACAGAGGAGCTCATGGTGTCCTGGTCTGGCTCCAAAACAATCCCAAGGCTACTAATGACAAAAAATAAGCTAAATCAAGACCAATACCAGTTGATGCATACAGGTCACTGATATATAAACTTGGCTCAATGATAATCAAGAAATTGTTTTTTGTTTTTTCTGTCTCTCTGTAGTTTAATGATCCTTTGGGCTGGATATGCATTCCCGTCTGTGAGCCACAGCCCAAGATCTCTGTGCTCGAAGTTGTAAAAATAAAGTCCCCAAATTTAAACCCTGATGGATTAGTAGGACCAGTGACAGGAGACAAGTTTTCACAAGATGATCAGAGGGAGGATGCTGTCCGAGAGGAGACTGGAAGGTTGGACCGCAGATATGGAAAAGAGCCCTACAGCAAAATGGTTGATTCCGATGAGGAAACGAGTGGCAGCTCATCAGAGGAAGAACAGTTCACGTCTGGTTACGAGCAACACTTCATGCCCTCTCCTTTAGAAGTAAGTTTTATCAAAGCCTCACACCTGATCAGAGACATTATTCTCATTTTTTTCTTTCTTTGTTGTTATTTATTGACTTTATTTAAAAAGAGCCAGTATACAAATAGTAAAGTAATACTATTTTACCTCAGACATACAGCTAAGCACTGGTCCAGGTCAGTCAGCTCACTGAAATTATTTCTTTGCGTCATCGGATGTGCTCCCAACTCTGCCAGCAAGAGCTCAAACTGCCCCGCTGACAACCTGGAATATGTACGAAAGAATCAGAATCAGAATACTTTATTGATCCCTGGGGGAAATTATTTTTTGTTACAGTGCTCCATTATAAGCCAACATTAAGACAAGATAGACAATACGCTAACTAAGAATAGTACAATATATACATATACATACATACATACATAAGTCACTCATAAATAAATAGCTGGAAAAGAAACATGTGTAGCTGTAGCAGCAAACAGTGTGTTAAGTGGATGCGTTGTACAGGGAGATGGCCACAGGCAGGAATGGTTTCCTGTGTCGTTCAGTGGTGCTTTTCGGTAATCTCAGTCTCTCACTGAACGAGCTCCTGTGACTGACCAACATGTCATGGAGTGGGTGGGAGGTGTTATCCAACATTGTCTTTATCTTGGACAGCATCCGCCTCTCCGACACCACCTTGAGGGAGTCCAGCTCCATCCCCACAACATTACTGGCCTTACGGATCAGTTTATTGAGTCTGTTGGCATCTGCGACCCTCAGCCTGCTCCCCCAGCATGCAACAGCATAGAGGATCGCACTGGCCACAACAGACTCATAGAAAATCCTCAGCATTTTCTGGCAGATGTTGAAGGACCTCAGTCGCCTCAAAAAATAGAGACGACTCTGGCCCTTCCTGTAAAGTGCTGTGGTGTTTTTAGCCCAGTCCAGTTTATTGTCAATGTGTACTCCAAGGTATTTATAGTCCTCCACAATGTCAACACTGACCCCCTGGATTGAAACAGGGGTCAAGTGTTTCCTGGTCTTCCTGAAGTCCACGATCAGTTCCTTGGTCTTTGCCACGTTGAGCTGCAGATGATTCTGCTCACACCACGTGACAAAGGAGTCGACCACAGCCCTGTACTCTTTCTCATCAAGCAGCTGTGATACAGCTTCAAGTCCTGGATTAAACCAGGAAATTCTCTCTGCTGCTTCCTTCTCGTGAGAATTGGGTGGACCCAGGATCTCAGTTTCTTACTTTTCTAGTTTAGAAACATCCTGATTGCTTGATGTCAACTTCATTTTTTTCACTGTGTGCTTTTTGAGGGCAGATTTTCTCCCAAAATGCATCACTTTTGGTGTTTGTATACATTAGATGACAAGTTCAGATCACAAAAATTCAGAATTTTGTGTGCTTGGTTTGTAAAAATGGCCTGTAGTCTAACTCTGTCATGATTTGCAGCTTTTGCATTAGTATACGACCATATCATGTTTAGTTTTTGTTTTTTATTCCACTATGATGTCATAATTCTGCCAGTCTTATATACACTTTGCAACTAAAGGCTCCCTTATTTATTCAAATCCTTTTTTCTCTCTCTCTGTAGTTTAATGAGTCCTTGGACTTTATCTGCATTCCCGTCAGTGAGACACAGCCCAAGAACTCTGAGGGATTAACAGGGCCAGTGGTGGGAGATGAGTCCTCGGAGATGGAGAGCCCAGATGATCAGAGGGAGGGTGGAAGAGAGGTGTACAACAAAATGGATGATCCCTATGAGGAGACAGGGGATTTCTGTAGCTCATCAGAGGAAGAACAGTTTACATCCGGCTATGAGAAACACTTCATGCCCTCTCCTTTGGAAGTACTCTAACATTGGCTATATCGCCACACCTCATCTGGCACGTTGTTTGTTTGTTTGTTTAATATACGATTGTTTAAGATGGGAAACCTCTGGATAGCCTTTTTCTTGAGATGCCTGCAGAGCATTTGGGTCACTGGAAAAATTTGTCTGCTGAAGCTGATTTTATGTCTCTCTCTGTCACAGTTTTCAGCTTTTGCATTAGTTTGTTCCATCTAATCATATCATGTTTATTGTTTATTTTTTGGATACTTTTTCTATTTCAGTTAAAGTCGACTCGCTCTGCATCCCACACTTTGCCCAGCATTGAGCCTGACTATGACAACACCAACAGCAGTATTTTTAAGAGTCGAAACATTTGCAGGATGTGCAGTAGTTTACAATAGTTTATTTCGAATCTGCATATTAACCCTAATCAAAGTGCACAGAGTGACAAATTATACTGACACCACCTGCTAAAACACTTTATGGTATTATAAAGTATCTCAGGAAACTCAATAAAAATAAAAGTTATCTGTACAATTATAAAACTGTGCTTTAAACAGATGTTTGTTTGTTTTTTCACATAAAGCGTCTTTAGGTAACACTGGATCTAATTTTATCATATCCATGACCTGTATGAAGTCACTGGAAATAGAGTCTGAATTTGTTGCTATTTACTCACACACATGCTCTGTAAATGCCATCCATCCACTCTATTCCAATCCAATCTGGGTTGTGGGGTAAATGACAATCCTTTGAATTTGATTTTTAAATGATTTTGAGTGTGTTGGAAATATTAACATCTTTCTTAGTTTTTTACATTGTTGTACAATATACTTTATATTTTGATAAATAAAATGTCTGTCAAATACATGTACAGCCATCACATTTGATTTAAATTACTAATATTGACTGTTTAAGCAACACCATGCTGGAGGAATATGGTGTAACACACAATTTAGGTGTAATGATTAGAGATTACACTTAATAACAAAACCCAAAAGGCCATAATTGTAACACATGGTTAAGTTGGTTGTTATAGATAGATAGATAGATAGATAGATAGATAGATAGATAGATAGATAGATAGATAGATAGATAGATAGATAGATAGATAGATAGATAGATAGATAGATTGATTAAAAGTATATTTTGGATTATGATTGCAGTTTTAAGATCAGAGTTGGGTGGAGAGGAGTGTCAGGGATGCTTTATGACAGAAGGATAGCAGCAAGAGCGAAAGAGAAGGTTTACAAGATGGTAGTAACCTGCTATCATGTATTGTTTGGAGATGGTAGCAACAACAAAAATAAGTGAAGATGAACAAGATTAGAGGGACAGCACTGGAGACAAAGTTAGAGGCACAAGGCTAAGATTTTTTGGACATTTACAGAGGAAGGATAGTGTTGAAGATGGATCTGGCAAAGAAGGTGACCACAGAAAAGATCTGTGAATGTAGTGACGGAGGAAATGCAGAGGGTTGGTGTGACAGGGGAGCTTGGAACACAGTGAGATAGTGGCAGATGTTCTGCTGTGCTGACGCCTAAAGGAAAGAAAAAAACGAACTTCTGTGCAGTTAACTACATTTATACTACATTTATTTCTACATTTAACTCCTAATTAATGCACAATCCATCTTTTAGGTCGTCTTTAATTCCATTTTTAGTTAAAAAAAAAACTTGCGTGCATACAACGTTTATTTAAAACAAAATGCTTATTTTTTGTTGGCGGTAGTATTTAATTATAGTATTATATATTGTTATTGTATTTGTATAATAATGTATTTTTTTTATTTATGTTTAACCAAATATGGATAGTAAAACTAGTTGCCTTTCAGTCTACGACAAATCTCGCGTAGTCAGTCAAATGTGTGACGGAAGCCGCCAAGGGTCAATTTCAATCGGCGTGCTCATTTGAACAAGAGGAACCGCTACGAAGAAGAAGAGAAGAGCGGCCCAGTACTGATTATTCAACTTTCAAGTTAATATTGTACGTACACTCCTAATAGGGTTGCACTTTAACAACGAATTCTTAATACCTCGATCACTCCTACTCATCGGGTAAGGCGTTTTACAAAATCAAAGCAAGTTTCAGTTAAATAGCATTAGCCTTGCTAGCAGTATTAGCATTAGCAGAGTGAGTCGAACTCCGATGCCTGACGATTTAGCGGCTAGCGCCTACTTACAAAGCGTGTTCACCTACTTATTACCCAATACTGATTGACATCCTTATGTTTAACCGCTATGTTTAAAACGACCGCATGGCTGTTATTGTTCTGCAAAAGAATTGCTCAGCTCGGCCCTTTCTTTGGATAGCTAACGGCAGAATTTTCTTGTTTTCATGCCGACCACATTGTGAGCCTCCAGCCGGGAACTGCCCTGTCGACCAGGCCCTAGCAAGAAGGGCAGGTTGGGTATTAGTGGGGTCAGCTGTCCATAGCGCAAACAATCTACAAGCTAATCGATAATGGATTTTATAATTGGAGAAAACTAGCCAGTAAAGCTAAATGTTGTAAAGGTAAACCACATGATTATGAGCCTGGAGCCGGACATGGCGATCGTTGCTTCGTTGCTAACTCATTTCCTGAGAACTTTTTTTCCCCTCTTCACTCTGACCAGCCACAGCTGAGTGAGTGTGACCTTCTACCTCACAAAACGGGCTAACCGCGCGGCTCGGGCCCACGTGTTACGGCATTGCGTTGAAATTCGAGCGAAAAAAAAAAATATCGAAGCGCAACGCGGTTCCGCAACTCAGACCGGAGGACCGGGTGGGGTGGGGGTGGGGATGGGGGTAGGATTAACTTGGAGCAGTTAAGCCGGGTCACAGAGATTTTAGCTGGTCTTGTTGTCTGATGTCCTCGTTTTTGTGCCGCATGCTGCAATTAGGGTTTTAGGTGTTTGACGGGGGGTGACCAGTCCCGGTGCCGCCGGGTCGTTTCACCCTTTAACCCACTATGAAGGCGGCCAGAGAGCTCCCAACCGACACCTGCGCAGTTTTGTTTTAGAACTGATCTTTTCTCCTTCAGCTGTTTCGTGCATGCATGCATTAAGTAACTACAGTAAGCCCTCAGTGGGTTCCAATAACTTTGCATGTCATTAAGCAGAGGTATCTTGTTTTAAGTAGTGATTGATTGGATAAAAGCCCAGCAGAAGACCATCTGATGAAATGTACAACGTGATTGGCATCCTGTGGTAGTTTCAGGTCCATTGCATTACTCCTGTGTGAAGATTTGTTCTTCTATGTACAGGCATCCTTCTTTTTTGCCTATATCAACTATATACGTGCATGTCGACTGGAAATGATGCATTAAAAAACATCTGACCTGTTGCTGATGGTGTTTGTATTCATACTGTCTGATCCAGAGACCTCACCTGCTTACGTGTTTCTTAATATTTTCCTTTGAATTTAAAGAGAAATGTGGATTAATTTGTGTGTGTGTGTGTGTCAGGATGGAGTGGCAGCCAGATGAGCAGGGACTTCAGCAGGTCCTACAGCTGCTCAAAGACTCCCAGTCACCTAACACAGTCACACAGAGAGCTGTCCAACAAGTATCCTACTTCAGTCTGTTCTGAGTGTGCATAATAAAACTGGTTAATGGTATTTAATTAAATTTTGATCCTTTATTGCTTTTAATGTAGTATAGCAATGAAAGTGTTTGAGGATTTTGTAGGAGCTGCGAGAGCAAAGGCGAGGTAGCAACTGTGACATGACACCTCAGTCATCTTTAAGGACTAAGTGCATCTATACTGTCTACTTTTCTTCACTTACAGTATATTTTTGACCAAAAATACATGATGGAAGAAATGTCACATCACATCTGTGCGATTAACATAAATGAGTAATCTATAATAAGCCCTTTCAGTCTGAGCCAAGTAAAGCTCAGACTGAAAGGGTGATTTGAAAGTGAAATGATCCTTAACTGCCACTTCAGAAACTCGAACAACTCAACCAGTTCCCTGACTTTAACAACTATCTCATCTTTGTCCTTACACGACTCAAAACTGAAGGTGAGTAGTCTGGCACGTGCGTCTTATGTCCCTCAGATCATTGATCCATTATGGTGAGAATTTAGTGCTTCCTGTTGCACGTAATAGCTGGATGCACCGAATGTTACTTATTGTGTTGGAGCCTCATTCCCAGCAGAGGCCTTGCATACATGTTTATACAGTGTGAGGGGGGCAAAAAAATGAATTGTGCCACTTGTACTCTTCTCACAGACTGACAGCAGTGACGCATCAATTGCTTAATCAACGTAGCACTTAAACATATACCAATAAATGTAACAGGACAAGTATATAGAACCGTGAACCGTGCTGTCACCATTGCTTTGGATACATGTCTTAGTTTAGGGATATAGATTTGTTATATTTGGTAAAAATTTAGGAATTTGTTCATGCCTCTACCAGAGCAGCCCTGAACTCTTCAAAGTTCAAATGAATCCTTATCGATTTTACATCGGGCTTTGCAGCAGCTCTGCATTCATCCCTTTCCCTTTAGAGTAAGTCTGCTCTCTTTGAGCGGACTTTCTTCTGATTGGCTGTCCCTCACAATCAGAAGGTCTGAATAATAATAATAGGTGAGTGGTGCTTCTGTGTTCAGAGTGTGTATAAATAATATTGTTCCTGGCATGAGCGAGTGCCAAGAGTAGGAAAAACCTCTGAGATCTGAGTGCTTGGAGCAGCCTGAAGCCTGTCTTTTGGCCCACAGGGAATACCTTTAGATTGGCTGATCTAATGATTTGAAACTTGGAGCTAGTTTGAATATGAATATCCACCTTTGCAAGAGTTTATATATGAAATAGACTGAGAAAAACTGTTGCGTCCACTTTGACTAAGAGTGATTGCTCTGAATTCCACAATGAAGGGCACACAGATTTTAAAGTAAGATGAAGAGTTGGATTACACGTCCTCAGGATTGAGTAGTGGAAAACGTTGTGCACTTTGATGTAGTGATCAGACTCCAAATACACGCTGATGGCTTGGCATCTTGGTCTCTAACTGCCCTCTCTTCTTCTCAGATGAGCCGACTCGCTCTCTGAGTGGTCTGATACTGAAGAACAATGTCAAAGCCCACTACCAGAACTTCCCATCAGCCGTTGCTGACTTCATCAAGCAGGAATGCCTCAACAACATCGGCGATCCCTCGCCGCTCATCCGTGCCACCATTGGTGAGTGTATTGGTTGTGTTGGTTTTATAACTTTATATACCATCTATTTACACACAGAGTAACCAGTTTAATTCCTGTGTGTCCTTATGTTACTCTCTGGAAATGATGCATAAAATCCATCTGAGTGTCTGTGAAGGTGTTTGTATTCATACTGTCTGATCCAGAGCTTCTGCATAGGCCAAAGGTTGCGGTCTTTGTCAGTGGTGAACAACTGACCTGAACTGCGTTTTCTCCTGTAGGCATCCTGATCACAACTATTGCCTCCAAAGGAGAGCTGCAAACATGGCCCGAGCTGCTGCCTCAGCTCTGCAACTTGCTCAACTCAGAGGACTACAACACGTGCGAGGTCTGCACTTCCTGTTTGGCATTTGACTCATTTAGATAGTTGCTCTGGTTTAAGTATCTGACAATTGAATGAGGCGCGTATTCTTGAAGTAGACATAAGTTTGAATTCATCCCACACAGACAGCCACAACAAGGCTAACTGGAAAGTCATAGTTTGCAAATGATTCCTGAGAAGAACCAGATATAGCTCTGCATGGACTTTGAAATGGAGCAGTAGATGTCGTAATAGTAGTAGTAATAATAATAAAACAGATGAAAATCAGGCAGGATTAGTTGTAATATCTGTGTTGGAGCAGCTAATATCTCCAGTCGTTCCTTTTATGATGACGATTTCATAGTCGCACATGTGCTTGACATGAAA